CCTGTAAATACATTGATTCACCTTGGAACAAGTCACCTACCACAGACGGCCTCAGCTGACATTTTTTTTTTTCATGCTGCATCAAGAACCTGAAATGCTGCAGGGACTTCCTAATGGAGCTCTTTTCTTTCAAGTCACCCTGACTCCCAAAATCATCTGCCACAGTGCAATGAGAGAGCACTCCAAAAAGGAAAGCATGCCATTCATTCCCTGCTTAACACACCCAGTGGTTTCTTACTGCAGAACAATTAACTCCAGCTCCTTAATATAAGGCTTTCCTGGCTTTTACTGAAAAAGCCCTGCTTTCCTCTCTAGCCTCAAACTCCCTTGTTCCCTTCAGTTCCTGGAACATTTGGGCTGTCCTTTGCACCCAGACCACAGTGCCTACAAACCGGTTTTCCAAGTACTCACTAAGGCCCCCTGTCGGTTGATAAGCTTACTCCACATGTTTGGTCTACAGTGAAAATGGAAGAGAGACTGTATTTTGGGGAAATGTTACACTAGAATAAGGAGACTGAAAAAAAGAAAGGTCAAAATTTGTGTGTGTGTGTGGGTGGGTATGGGTGTGTGTGTTTTCAGTACCAGCCTCTAATTTCTATATATACCTCTCTTTATCCAAGGCCCTATTGTCCTCACTTTGAACTGTCCTTTACTTTTTCTGTTCTTCACAAAATGGTCTCTGAACAAATAATGTATGACTAGTTTTATACACTTCAGGGTGAGCTGAATTAAATTTTATGGAACGTTCATTATAGAGCAGGCTTCATTCTAGGCACAGGGAGATTATCAATGAGTAGGAGAGGAAAGGCACCAGCTCTCAACAAGTACACATTCTAGTGGAGGAGAAATTAAATGATGAATAAGATTGCTTCAGATAGAAGTCCTTTATAGGAAGAAGACAAAATAAGGGTATGTGATAAAGTGATTGCTGGAAAGGAGGTGTCTAGTTTAGACCATGTGGTTCACGTGGTCTCCTTGATGATAGGACCACCAGGAGAAAGAAAGTAGCCTTGGTAGTGGAAGAATGGAGGAAAGCATTCCAGGCAGAGGGTGTAGCAGTTGCAAAAGCTATGTGGTGAAAATTAACTTGTTGTGCTCAAGCAGTAGGAAGAAAGGTGGGATAACTAGAACAGAGTTTATGGGGAGAAGAGTGGTGGGAGACAAGGTCTGAGGCTCAGCCAGCAGTGGGACATGCATGGCCTCACAGCCCTGGTAAGGAATTCTGTTATTCCTAATGCAAGTGGAAGCCAGCAGGTTTTAAATGTATAAATGGTGTAATCTCATTTAGAGTTGTGCAAGTGAGCTCTGGCTTTAAAGTAGAGAAATAAACTGAAGAAAAGCAAAAGTGAGCACAAGGGTAGGAGTTCGGAACTTCAATTCATCTCACATTAATGATACCTGTTCAATTCAGAGAAACACTGAAACGGGAGAGCATTGGAAGTGGTGTGTTACCATCTTGTATTTTTAAGGTTTATCTTCATGGGGACATAAATGTGAGTTCTGCACTTAAAGAAACTAGAATTTCTGTAGGAGGGTTTACTAGAAAATGAGGAAGTTGAATCAATATAAATGGTAGGTAATTGGTTCAGTGGAGAGTAAAATATTGGGAAAAAAGGGATCTACACACATGAAATAAGTTTTAATCATAAACAGCAGTTAACAGGGACTAGGAGTCAAAATGGCTTCCCTGAAATCACCCCTATAGGATTCTAGAAAGTTTTAGATTTGGAATTAGAAGTATTGCATTGGAACACTGGGTTCATCACTTTGACGAACAGTTTTATCCTCTCTGGGCCTCTATGTTTGCTCATCTCTTAAACAAAAATGTCCTACCTGACAATTGGTAAGATTTTTTTAAGGCATAAAAATAATCCATCCATGGCTCTATTATAATTATATCATTTCTGACATTCAGCTCTCTTTGGAGTAACTTTATAGGTGGTATTTTCATAGAATAATAGGTCTGAAAAATATCTTCAATATTGTGTAAACATTTACTCATATATTCATATCTGCTCATTTTAAAGATGATAAAATGGAAACCTACAAGGGAAATGAACCAGCCAATGGTTCCTGATCCAGTTGGTGTGACAGGCATGCTGCAACCCAGGTCATGTGACTCCTTGACTCCTGATAGGTCCAGGGAAGTTCTGCCCAGAGGATAATTAAAATATATGTTCCATTCATTCTTTGTTTCTCCTACACAGAAGCACCCATGAAATGGAAAAGCTCTTCTCCCACCTCTTACAAAATAGTAGAATTTACTTACAAATATTTCTCAGGACTACACTGAGTAGGATGACTGGGCCAATGGCTTGTACAAAATTTCATTTCAACAGAGCTTCCTGTCTAAGAACATCTTAAGACCTTGTTTATTTTGTTCTGGTGCATGGAGTAGAGCAGATTAAGAGAGAGAAATTCATTGTGTTTGTTATAAATATTGTATTTGTATTTGTTTTTAAATATAATGAGATTAAAGCATATCTTTTATGAAGTAATTTTTGTAAGAAATGGAAATTAGACAACTTCAAAAGGAGGGTGAGCAATTAGCCAAACTCAATAATGATCAGTTATTTAAAACTCTATATTTTGCTTTCTGTAGAGTTTTGACTTTTGTCCAGACACATTATCAGTGCCCTCTTTGATCCACTATAATCTCCAAATAAGGCCTGAGGGACTCATAAATCTTTGTTCTGCTGCTAAAGATCCCTGAGAAATCTTTTTGATGACAGAAATGAGTAAAGACAGATGGAACTGCACATTCTTAAGTGAATAAATATAGCTTTTAAAATACTTTCTCTTTCAAATAATCGAAAGCACAGGTCAACATCACAGACGGGATTTCAAAGAAGTAGACACAAGGGTGGAGCTAAAAATTATACCAAGCATAAAACAAAAATAAACAAGCCTAATTCAGGAGCAAAAGTGGAGATTATTTAAAGAGTGGAAACCATATTCCAGTCTCAGTGCTGGGACAGGATTCCCACTCCTTCTTTGAAGCTCTCCTACCTTTTCTCTTGCAGCTCATCAGAGAAACCCACAGGTTTCAAAACAGGATGCTAGGAACCTCCAGCTGGAATATATATATATAATCTGGAATATATATTATATATATAGTGAATATATATATATATAAAAGAAGATGGAAAATTTACAAAGATGCCTTAGAAGTGGGAGATTTATGAAGTACAGGAGGGAAGAAACCCCTAATTAAATTCTTATTTAGAAATATAGTACTCATCAGAAGTTGGTCAGGTTGTATTAAATAGAAAAATTGCTTTCATTGAACATGTACGGGGAAAATGGGTATGTGAAGTGACTATGAAATTTATTCCTCACAATTTTTATTAATGATCTTACTAACAGCACTTGTACTTTCTGTAAATTTCTCAAACTTCTTGTGTTTGTAACACACTCTCAAGTATTACAGTTACTTTGGTATACATTAAACATACAAATAGGAACAAGGACCTCAGATACAGGTGTCTGGACTAAACCACTTCACATTAACTGTTATACATGTCTGCTTGAGTAGACAGTGCCTTGTAGTTTTGTGAAAATAACCAGAGTTGTCAGACTGTTGGTTTTTTTTTTTAAGATTTTTTATTTATTTATTCATGAGATACAGAGAGAGAGAGAGAGAGAGAAAGAGAGAGAGAGAGAGAGAGGCAGACACAGGCAGAGGGAGAAGCAGGCTTCATGCAGGGTCTCCAGGATCACGCCCTGGGCTGAAGGTGGCGCTAAACCACTGAGCCACCCGGGCTGCCCAGACTGTTGGGTTTATTGCCCTTCTGCACTACCCTTCTAGAAAGGACTGTTTCCTGCTCTGACTCTATACTTTTCTGTCCTCATGAGATAAAAGTCTTGGTTGATGTAGCAAATGCAAATTCTCCTTAGAGCATAGATTTACCTTTGTGCCTGCATTACACACAGTACCTGCAGCACATTTTCAATGCTATGCTCCATCTTGCAACCTACTATTGGACTCAGTATCACAGCTGACAAGCATTGCCATGGAAGTGAATGACAGTTGTGGCAAAAAGAAAATATCCAAGTTGTTGAAAATTTGGTGATGGCTGTCAGGGATTTCCCTCTGAGTCTTGAGGCACACTGCTTAAAAATTACTCCTCTGAATTAAACAACTCAGTGTCCACCTTGTGTGTACCTTAAAGAGAAGTGATTACCTCTCTTATAAATGTCCTACTAATATGATCTTGTCTGCTCTACATCATGAGAAATTCTGAAAATCAAAATGACTTTTGACAACCCTACCTGAAATCTCATCAGTTTCATTTAGGGGGTTTATCCACTCTGTTCTGTGGGAAAAGAGTCAACCTATGAACTGAGGCAGGTGTTTGAAGGGAACTTTGTAATGAGTGAACAAGGGCTACATCATATTTACAAAGTCTTTCAACACTATTATATTAATTGTAAAAAGAAAACAAAACAACAGTATCTTCTATTTGTTTTGCAATACTCAGTTGTGCCCCCAGAGTATGGATGTGTGTGTGTGTGTGTTGGTGTAGGTGTGTGTGTTAACCTTGAAAGTTTAGTGTATATTTATTAAATGAATTATTATTTTAATTTTTGAAATGCTGTTAACTCATGCCATGCTTCACTTTTGGCTGAAACTGATTCATCAACCTTGATCCTGCATAAAGGAGTTATAATAGACTGTTATAGAAGGAAATGGTTGGAATGGAGTATGGATGGGATAAATCAAAATAATATTTATGTACATTATCCTATGCATGTGGTGAGTCTTGTATAGCTTCATAATACTCTTTGCATCTTTCTAATCCTGATCATCTTGCATGGTATCCCATGACACCCCAAAAAGTTGAATATAAAATCCTAACATGCCGCTCCACCCACATCACTTCCACAATTGCAAGAGCCTACCTCTGCCTTTGTTGTGTTCCTTCACTTAGAGTAAGAATCTGTTGTTTGAAATGTGCATCCTCTGCTAACTTTAAGTCTCCCCTCTTTCTATTTTCAAGGATGGGAGGAACAGTTTTATTGGACACCAACTGGGCGGGGTAGTGGAAGTGCCAAACAGCAAGGACCAGCGGGTCAAGTCAGCCAGAGCCATTCAAATCACCTACTACCTCCAGACCTATGGCTCTGCTACCCAAGACCTCATAGGGGAGAAGTGGGAGAATGAGTTCTGTAAGCTCATGAAGAAGCTCCAGGAGGAGCACCAGGACCTGCAGCTCTACTCATTAGCATCTTTTAGCCTCTGGAGAGACTTTCATAAGACCAGCATCCTGGCCAGGAGCAAGGTCCTGGTAAGCCTTGTGCTGATCCTGACCACAGCCACCCTCTCCAGCTCCATGAAGGACTGTTTGCGCAGCAAGCCCTTTCTGGGCCTCCTGGGGGTGCTCACAGTGTGCATCTCCATCGTCACGGCAGCAGGGATCTTCTTCATCACTGATGGAAAGTACAACTCCACCCTGCTGGGAATCCCATTCTTCGCCATGGGTAACTATCCATCCTTGTGGTAATTGGATTCTTGCCAATTTGGGGCAAGGTAGTACATTTCTTGAATTCTCAGGCAGAAATCTGTTTTAATTTTTCACTGATGTGTCTGTGTGTGATTACATCAAGTTATTTGGGCTAATCTCTGCTTCACCTTATTGGGTCTTTTGGAAATTTTAGGCTGACCAAGTCATCTTCCCATTTATGTTAGGGAATTTAATGCTGTCGGGTATTCTAAATTACATAATATAGGAATTCTCTACTCTGCTTTTTCGAAAATTATAGGTCAGGGATGATGGAGATCCAAAACTTACTTTGAATAAATTTTGTGCTTCATATTAATGGACATCTTCAAGTAGTGATGGTGAAGAGTGAGTAGCATAGGATGAAAATTTGAAGAACCACTGATAGATTCTAATCTCAAGGAACTTCTTCATTAATCTTGGTTTATTCATTCATTTCAAAGTTTTTATAGAGAATATACTCCATTTCCCTATCTCCTTATAAATTAAACCTTCCTGCTACCACCTAAAGATGTGTCCCCTAATTTCTTTCATCTCTGGTGAAAACAATTAATGAGCCTCCTCAGTCAAGATTGTCCCTTCTTGTAAGTTTTCTCTAAGACATACATAAATGTCTAGAAAATGCTTTATAAGTGTATGTGTCTGTGTGTCTGTGTGTGTGTGTTCTTGCAAAAAAAAAATCAAGCCTGGGAAGAAAGATGAGTGATGGCTCAGCAACAAGACTGATGGAATGTATCAGAAAAGTCATGATAATGTTGAAATCTGTGGTTCTACAGAAGAGTTCTGTCAGATGTGAAATAATTCCCTGCATGCAGTGATTTGGAGGATGAGCTGTAATAATGGCACCTAGGTGGTGAACTGACATGTGCGGAAGAATCTTCAGCTATACAGTAATTGCTTTTCACTTCCCATACTAAAATCAGCTATAAATTATAGTTTTATTATTAAATAAAAAAGACACAGGTATGTGGTCAGAAGGTCTTCTAGGTGACCTGGGCCCTTTTCGTTTCCACCTTAACAAACATCTTTGAGAATACTGCAAAATGTATTTATGGCATAAGTTGCTGGGGCCAAATTTCTTTATCTGGAAACTTAAGTTCATTGATGTCCCAGTAAATTTATTCATCTCCATAAACCTCAGTTTCCTCTTGTATAAAATAAGGATAATAATTGTATAACTTTCAAAGAATTGTTTTTTGAATGTAGTAGAATATACCTAAAGCTTATAGCATATAGTAAATGCTCTATGTGTATCAAACTTTAAATGCACTGGATTCAACAATAAATAGGAACAGACCTTGGCTTTAAGAAATTGAAAGTCTTCCTTGATTTTGCATATCATTTTTAAATGCATGTTCATCTGGTTAACAAAAAGGTTTTTATTTTTCCTGAAGAACTATATTAAAATCTGTTTGCACCAGTGACAAGGATGAGTCTAGATTTAAGCCATTTATATTTGTTATATTTTTTTGAGCTTGGACTCCTGATTTGAAATAATATAAAATTTGTAAGAATCATTCACTGTGATTCACAAATGAAACATGGCTCATTCAAAAATGACAAATTAGGGACGCCTAGGTGGCTCAGTGGCTCTGCCTTTGGCTCCGGGCGTGATCCCGGAGTCCCAGGATCAAGTCCCACGTCGGGTTTCCTGGAGCCTGCTTCTCCCTCTGCCTATGTCTCTGCCTCTCTCTCTCTCTCTGTCTCTCATGAATAAATAAATAAATAAAATCTTTTTTAAAAAATGACAAATTAGATAGCTTAAAACCTACTAGGGCTTTTTCTAAAACTGTGGCAATCTAATTGGTAATGGAAAGATTTATCAGGAAAGCTCTATAATATATAGAATTACATATTGTATACAAATAAGGATAAAAATTGTCTCCAGTGATGTTGAATTGTATTGTAGACACTACCAAATCAAAGTGGTGTTTTCATTCCTTAAGGAAATAATAACACTGGAAGCCACAACACTGAAGAAAATGCCAGGATCCTGAAACACACATGTTTCTCACTTTTCTTCTGTCTCAGTGACCTTTAAGATCATAACTTAACCTTGGACAATGTAGGTGCAGATTCTAGGAAGCCTAGTGAATGGTTACTCTTCAGGATACCTAGAATTCAGTCCTTAAAATATTCCAAAATTAACTTTTTTGATATGTACTGAAAACACAACAACAATAAGCCTATCAATATATACTTATCTAAGATAAGTGGTCCATCAAGAGGGACTTTGTTTGTTTTGCTTTGTTTTGTTTGTAAAATGATCTGTAATAATAAAGACACCAAGATCAAGAACTAGTGAAATGAAAGGAATATCCCACAGGGCTAAGAAATCTGGATTTTCATCCCAGCTTTTCCACTGACTTTGTATGTCTTATTGGACAGTTATATATAGTTCTTTTGTCGCAGTTATTTATATATTAGATGAAGGATTTGGACTTTTCAATCTTAAAATTTGAAGATCCTACAATATTATTTATTTCATTTTCAGTTGAAGTTAGAATTCGGTCATTCCTTTATAAAGTCATTTAAGGTATGTGTTATCTTCCAACCTCTAACTTCCATTCTCCTTTGTTGACTTCCTGTGTTTGTGTGTGTGTCTGTACATGTGTGTGTGAGAGAGAGAGAGAGAGACAGACAGACAGACAGGGAGAGAGGCTTTAGAACAGAAAAACCACAGCATTGCACACAGAGTACAACTCTATGAAGGTGATGAGATGGAACATGATACTGAGCATCAGTAAGTTGAGTTTGGCAGATATATATCTTCTAGTGGTGCACGTGGCATTGGTTGAATGTAATCCTTTGATTGATTTCAGCTTACATGGTGTCAAAACTGCATAATCTAAAGTTAGTTGAGTGTAAGGGGAAGGAGTCCAACTCTTCTGGTAAACCTTTATTTCTATTCCTATCTTCACACAAGGATTTGTTTGAGGTAGTGAGTATTTACTCCATTGTGCTCCAAGATTCAAACCATTTATCTTCATCATAACCTATCCCCAAAACTGGGTATGTTGCTTATCATGTTCTGTTCTTCGGCCATCTTATTTTGGACCACCTATCTTCCTTTTAAACTGTATCTGCTTGTTCATTTTTCTAACCATTCTTCCACTTAATATACCTGGTGCCATTTAGGATGTATATATACTGTACCTTTATATCCTGCATTGTTTAAACCTGTACTAATTTTTATATTTTGTTCTGCTATCCCCATAAGTAAAGTTGTGTCTTTCAAATTATATGTTCCAGATTTAGATTTAGAAAAGGAGATGATCATAGGCATATGTGTTATCTCTGTAAAAGGTCTGATAAGGGAAATCCAGACTTATAATAATTTTTGAAAAACACTTAAAATTATCCCATTTAGCTCCAGCTTAACATCTTTTCTCTAAACAAGCATAAACAAGTAAGAATGCCGCTAATTTAATTTATAACTCATTGTCAGCCCTTTCCCCCCCCCACTCCATTTGCTTTGTGTGAATGTGTTTCTTCTTTCTAGAAGGAGAAATATGGGCTAATAGTACATACAGGCACCAACCTGGCTCCCACTATATCTTGGTGATCCGTGGATAGTTGGCAAAGACATTGGTAGCCTTGGTTTACTATTATTTTACAGTCTATCCTGAGTTTGTTTCATATGCCAGGAGTCTTACTTTAGTCATTGGTGATTTTGACAAGAGCTGCTTTGGGACAGTGCTGACACTAATTTAAAGAAGTTCAATACAGCTTGGAAAATAGGTAGTGAAGATAGTGAGTAAAGACAGTGGACACATGCACATGATTTCTTTTGTTCAGGTAAACCCAGCATTTCCAGATATGAGACTTTTCAATCATTATCTGAAACTGAACTCCATATTCATTTATTTATTAATTCATTCAGATATTTATTGAGCACCTACTATGTTCCAGGTATTTTGGATTCAAGAGTAAAATGTATCGAACAGAACCAGTCAAGTGGTTGTCTGAGTAGATCTCACTTTGTAGGCCTGCAAAGGGGGGGCATACAACAATAAACAAATAAGTGGTATAAAGTACAAAAATAAAGCAAGAAAAAGGATAAAGAGCATTAGTGGTAAGAGAAAAAACTTTTTAAGAAAAATAAATAAATTGAAGTAGAGAGCTAAATGAAGTAAAGTAGCCATGTGGCAATCTGAGAAAAGAGTATCTCTGACAAAGAGAACTATATGTGCAAAGTCTTTTAGAAGGACCTCTCTTGGTGAAGTTGAGGAAGCCCAAGAAAAAGAGTGTGGCTGGAGCACAGTGGGCAACTGTCTGGGTATTATTAGATGGAGGTAGGGAGATGGTAGAGAATTAAGTCATGTAGAGCAGTGAGAAGTTAATACTTTTTTTCTAAGAATTTATTTATTTATTTGAGAGAGAGAGAGAGAGCAGAGGGAGTTGAAGAGGTAGAGGGAGAGAATCTCCAGCAGACTCCCCACTGAGCACAGAGCAAAGGGGCATAATCCCATGACCCTGAGATCATGACGTAAGCCAAAATCAGGAGTCCAACACTCAATGACGAGCCACCCAGAACCCCCAGAAAACTTAATACCTTAGATGGAAAGATATCTGAAGCATTTGAAACAGGAGTATGATCTGTCTTATGTTTTAAAGGCATCTTTGGCTACAACATGGAAATTAGTCTGCAATGGAGTAAGAATGGTTATAGGGAGACATGAAGAGGTTATTACAAAAATCCATGGGCTATCATAGTGATGATTTGAAATACCATCGGAGCAGAGACAGTGGCGAAAAAGGATTGGACTCCGCATATGTGTTTGAAAATAAAATTTGTAAGATTTGCTATAGGACTGGATATGGTATGTAAGAAAAAGAGGAGTCTAGGATGACCCCCAAGCTTTGAGGACTGAATAACTAATAGAAAGCAGTTGCCATTTATTGTCATAGGGAGATTATGATAGGAATAAGTTGGGGAGGAAAATATTAAGAGTTTACTTTTCTATTTGGTATGTTAGA